GGGCTCCAATTCTGGTTTGGAGGTCCCCGGAGGGATTGGCCTAATCAAGGGACTTCCCCAGGGATTCCAACATTTCCCTTCATTTTCTTCATATTAAAATCCGATGAGGACTCCTCCAATTAACAAATGATACCCAGGGGTTTTGGGATACAAATTGGACGAGACAAAAATTTTACAAAAAGAGATTTAAGATATTTTAAAATTAAAAGGGGTACAAATTCAATATTTTATTTTTTCCAATTAGGTATAAAAAATAATTCTCCCTTTTTTAAAATTTTAAAAAATTAGTTGGAATAATTCCTTTTCCGGATTTGTAAAGTTAATTTTGAAATTAGGCAGGATTTCCAGGAAAGAAATCCAGGATCCGGAATTCATGGGATTTAAAACATTCTGGTGGTTTTTTTGGTTTTGGAAAATTTAACGGATTTCCCAGGTGGGATTTTCCTATCCGTTTGCGCCTTCTTGCGGCCCAATCAGGGATTAAATTAAAAAAATTTCAAAAGTGGGAGGCGGGTTTGCCGGAAAATGAAACCCGGCAATAAATTTTCGAAAAAAAAAATTTAAACCATTTAATTTTTAAAATTTAAATTAAATTCCCACCCTATTTCTTTTAATTCTTTGGAATTTGAAAATTTTAATTTTAATTTATCCCGTAAATAATTTAAAATTAAAATTTTCAATTTTCCAAAAAAATTAAACAAAGAAAGAAGCATTAAAATTTAATGGTAATTTAAAAAGTTTATTTGGTTTTATTCCGGCAAGGATTTTTATGAATACCTATTAACCAGGACTTTCACGGGTATCAAAGCTAATTCGAGGCTTCTAGTGGATACTGAAAAATTCCGGCGATCAGTTGGATACCAACTTGATTCGGCCAGGATTTCTGGATATCCAACATTTGGATTTAAAGAAATTCAGGCAGGACTCTCTCCAGTGGACATCCAACATCCTGTTTCAGGCAGGACTCTCTCCAGTGGACGTCCAACTTCCTGATTCAGGCAGGACTCTCTCCAGTGGATATGGAATATCCTGATTCAACCAGGACTTTCCCCAGTGGATATCCAACAGCCTGATTCTGTCAGGACTTTCTTCAGTGGATACTGAAAATCCTGATTCAGGCAGGACTCTCCAGTGGATATACAACATCCTGATTCAGGCAGGACTTACTCTAGTGGATATCCAACATCCTGATGACATTGTAGACAGAGAAATTTTCTACACAGTGATTGTAGGCTGTTATAGGCTTGAAGATATGAAAACAGTGTCTACATAAATGACGAAGAAATAAATTCATAATTTTTTAATATCCATTTATTATTAGGCTCATTATAATTATTAATACTTGCTCATCAACTCATTTTTCTTAATAATATGCTGAGAAAACATGATGATATGTTTGATATTTGAATTGGCTGTATCTCGGTAAATATATGTGTAAAAGGCTTAATTTTGCAAATTAGCAAAGAAAGAGTTAACAGAAAGAAACGTCCAGCGATGCGGTAATTCTAATGGTAGCATTTTGAAAACGATTCTATGGCTGGTTTTGATTCAGGCAGGACTCTCTCCAGTGGATATGGAATATCCTGATTCAACCAGGACTTTCCCCAGTGGATATCCAACAGCCTGATTCTGTCAGGACTTTCTTCAGTGGATACTGAAAATCCTGATTCAGGCAGGACTCTCCAGTGGATATACAACATCCTGATTCAGGCAGGACTTACTCTAGTGGATATCCAACATCCTGATGACATTGTAGACAGAGAAATTTTCTACACAGTGATTGTAGGCTGTTATAGGCTTGAAGATATGAAAAAAGTGTCTACATAAATGACGAAGAAATAAATTCATAATTTTTTAATATCCATTTATTATTAGGCTCATTATAATTATAAATACTTGCTCGTCAACTCATTTTTCTTAATAATATGTTGAGAAAACATGATGATATGTTTGATATTTGAATTGGCTGTATCTCGGTAAATATATGTGTAAAAGGCTTAATTTTGCAAATTAGCAAAGAAAGAGTTAACAGAAAGAAACGTCCAGCGATGCGGTAATTCTAATGGTAGCATTTTGAAAACGATTCTATGGCTGGTTTTGATTTTGAGTTTTGCGAAAAATGACGATTTCGCCGAGGTGGCGATTTTTCCGTGGCAGCTCTGCTTTGCGCCATCTTGACCGCCACACAGCTCAGTGGTCAGTTAAATCAGTAAATAATTGTCAAAAGATGGCGCAAAGTGGAGCTGCCACGGAAAAATCGCCACCTCGGCGAAATCGTCATTTTTCGCAAAACTCAAAATCAAAACCAGCCATAGAATCGTTTTCAAAATGCTACCATTAGAATTACCGCATCGCTGGACGTTTCTTTCTGTTAACTCTTTCTTTGCTAATTTGCAAAATTAAGCCTTTTACACATATATTTACCCAGATACAGCCAATTCAAATATCAAACATATCATCATGTTTTCTCAACATATTATTAAGACAAATGAGTTGATGAGCATGTATTAATAATTAGAATGAGCCTAATAATAAATGGATATTAAAAAATTATGAATTTATTTCTTCGTCATTTATGTAGATACTTTTTTTATATCTTCAAGCCTATAACAGCCTACAATCACTGTGTAGAAAATTTCTGTCTACATTGTCATCAGGATGTTGGATATCCACTGGAGAGAGTCCTGTCTGAATCAGGATGTTGGATGTCCAGTGGAGAGAGTCCTGCCTGAATCTGGATGTTGGATGTCCACTGGAGAGAGTCCTGGCCTGAATCAGGATGTTGGATACCACTGTAGAGAGTCCTGCCTGAATCAGGAATTTGCCCTCATTATTTTAATCATATTGGATATCTCAGGATGATGGACATCCTACAATATAATCAGGATGTAGAATACCCGCGGAGGAATCCGGCGGCTGTAACAAGTATATAGGACTCCCACTGAGGCACAACATACTAGAATTATATCAAAGGAAAGCAGATATCCATAGATGCGATGCCTTCTACAATATTCAGAGTGCAGGATATCAACAGCTCTCAGATATGCTTTCATTGTCATCAGGATCAAGGATATCCAAAAGAATAATTGAGGCTCCCTCTAGTGGATATCTAACATCCTAATTCAGGCAGGACTCTCTCCAGTGGACATCCAACATCCTGTTTCAGGCAGGACTCTCTCCAGTGGACGTCCAACTTCCTGATTCAGGCAGGACTCTCTCCAGTGGATATGGAATATCCTGATTCAACCAGGACTTTCCCCAGTGGATATCCAACAGCCTGATTCTGTCAGGACTTTCTTCAGTGGATACTGAAAATCCTGATTCAGGCAGGACTCTCCAGTGGATATACAACATCCTGATTCAGGCAGGACTTACTCTAGTGGATATCCAACATCCTGATGACATTGTAGACAGAGAAATTTTCTACACAGTGATTGTAGGCTGTTATAGGCTTGAAGATATGAAAACAGTGTCTACATAAATGACGAAGAAATAAATTCATAATTTTTTAATATCCATTTATTATTAGGCTCATTATAATTATTAATACTTGCTCATCAACTCATTTTTCTTAATAATATGCTGAGAAAACATGATGATATGTTTGATATTTGAATTGGCTGTATCTCGGTAAATATATGTGTAAAAGGCTTAATTTTGCAAATTAGCAAAGAAAGAGTTAACAGAAAGAAACGTCCAGCGATGCGGTAATTCTAATGGTAGCATTTTGAAAACGATTCTATGGCTGGTTTTGATTTTGAGTTTTGAGAAAAATGACGATTTCGCCGAGGTGGCGATTTTTCCGTGGCAGCTCCGCTTTGCGCCATCTTGACGGCCACACAGCTCAGTGGTCAGTTAAATCAGTAAATAATTGTCAAAAGATGGCGCAAAGCGGAGCTGCCACGGAAAAATCGCCACCTCGGCGAAATCGTCATTTTTCGCAAAACTCAAAATCAAAACCAGCCATAGAATCGTTTTCAAAATGCTACCATTAGAATTACCGCACTTCTGGACGTTTCTTTCTGTTAACTCTTTCTTTGCTAATTTTCAAAATTAAGCCTTTTACACATATATTTACCCAGATACAGCCAATTCAAATATCAAAGGCGTTCCGCGAGCGCTTTTTTATGGGTTCGTATCCTGGCCGGGGAGGATTGACTGGGCGCAAATCCTTAACTGTAGCCTCTGTTTAACTCAACAGTAAAATGTGTACTTGGTTGTAACAACGATTCTTCGCGGTGGGGATCGTATTCCAGGGACCTGCCCGAAACGCTACGCGTACTAGTGGCTCTTCAAGGTGGTTTAGTTTAGTTCATTTATTATGCACCCCATACCCATCTTGTGGGCGGTAGTGGAAAGGGTTACAGAGGCACATAATGGGCTCTGGGACTGAACCCCACAATTCATTTAGCTAAGCAAGTTACAATCTTGATGAGCTAGTTACAAACTTTAATACAAGTCGTCACATCAACAATGGGTTCGAGATCGACCTCAAGTACAGGTTCTAAATTAAGCAACAAGAATGTAACAACTCTTGTATATATCTCAAAATGTTGCTTTATCCGAAAATTCGGTTTAATGCTACACTTTCACAACCTTTAGGTTCTTTCTTCCTCTTCATACAAACACTTCAGCATTGTAATACTAATACTATTTTTTTTAGTAACTGCCTCAAGAATGAAATTAAAATTCATCAAGTTATATTGGCTGTGATCTTTATTTAGTTCAACAATCCATCTTGCCTCAAATTCTAAGTTTATCTGTTATCCTCGTAGGAGGTTAGGTTAAGTTAAGGTTTAGTTTTTAGTATGTACTCTTTGTATTTTAAACCAATTATTTATAATATAATAAAGTTATACCTTGAAGTAGACTATTATTGGAACCGTAACATGTTTTCAGACCATCACAAATCTTGAAATAAATATCCAGGTGGTTTAACGGGATGGTTTGTGCCTTATGGTAATGTATTTGCCCTGAGGGTGGGATAAGTAAAAACACCATTTGTTTACACAGAGTTTAATGAGATAATATCTGTATAGGACGTAATATCATGTCAGAGATACAAAGAAAACCTGCTTTAAATATCTTCCATTTTCTCTCATCAGTGCAGGGGTAACTAGTACAAATATTACGGAAGTCGCGGCCGCGATAAGAGAGTCGGCCAACACAGAAGTAGATATTATTTAGACTGAGTTACAGATAAGAGAAGTGATTATAATTTAATCCAAAACTCTGTGGCCTTGGCCAGATATGGGATGAGTGATGGAGGAGGCGTCCTCGGGAAGGTTATGGGTGATGGAGGGAGTAATGCTTAGTGGGCACAGAAGGGATGGAAATGGGGCCTCATCGTCGTTTCCTTACGGTGTGAAAGTCTCCAAGTCCTTCCGTGTCGTCGCTCAGGGATCTCTTGAAGAGTGGTCGTTGATTGTCGTCTTCGAGGTCGTCCTCCTGGTGCACGCTTCGTCGTCTTCGGCCTTCGATATCGCTTTCAATGGGAGGTTTAGATTCCACTTGCAGAAGCTCGCTTTCCTCCAAATTCCTTTTCATGCGTAACTCTTCCTCCTCACCCTCCGGGAGCTGCTGTTTCATCTCCGGATTGTTTCTTATTGTGTCAGAGTCACTGAAACCATCGTCGAATGTATCACTGTCCTTGTTAGGACGACGCTTGTTCATTCCCATATCTTTGTTGACATCAACTTCACGCTTTCTTCTCATGGTCATCTCCATCTCATTATCTTCAGGCGTTTGGGAGTTCTCCTCTGAATCATTTTTCTTGATCGTGTTAAAATCTGCGAGATCTCCTATAACTGCGCCGCCATCAGATTCAATCGATTCCATTCCTGTTCTTTTTTTCATTGTTGAAAAATCCCCAAACCCCTGACTGAAAGTGTCTCCATGGAAGCCACTTGCCCCCATGCCTAGTCTCCGCTTTTTCATAGTCGAAAAGTCTCCAAAGCCTTGGCTGAAGGTGTCTCCATGAAAGCCACTAGCACCCATTCCCAGTCTCCTTTTCTTCATCGTTGAGAAATCTCCAAATCCTTGACTAAAGGTGTCTCCATGGAAGCCACTCGCCCCCATTCCTAAGCGACGCTTCTTCATGGTGGAGAAGTCGCCGAATCCTTGACTAAAAGTGTCCCCATGGAAGCCACTCGCACCCATTCCTAAGCGACGCTTCTTCATGGTGGAGAAGTCGCCGAATCCTTGACTAAAAGTGTCCCCATGGAAGCCACTTGCACCCATTCCCAAGCGACGCTTTTTCATAGTAGAAAAATCTCCAAAGCCCTGACTAAAGGTGTCCCCATGGAAGCCACTTGCACCCATTCCTAAGCGACGTTTCTTCATGGTGGAGAAGTCGCCGAAGCCTTGACTAAATGTGTCCCCATGGAAGCCACTTGCACCCATTCCCAAGCGACGCTTCTTCATGGTAGAGAAGTCACCGAAACCTCCTGAGAAAGTGTCGCCATGGAAGCCACTCGAGGTCATCTCTTGGCGTCTCTTCTCAGGAGTTGACACTTCTGAAGATTCCACTTCTCTCTTGCCTCGCTTCACGGGAGAGAAATCTCCGAAGTTGTGAGTAAAGATGCCCTCATGAAAGCCCTGAGCCCCCATATCGTTTGGCGCTCTCTTCCAGTCGTTGGAAGCCAGGGACAAAAGGTAGGGGTTGATCGAGCGTTTGTAGCTATGCATAAAGTGCTGAGGGATGTACACGTCCAGGTAGGGATCGTGTTTCTTCATACTGTCACCGAAGAAGTGCTGTGGGTAATAAGAATCTGTGTACTCGTCTCTCTTCTTTGGTTCGATTGCGAGGTCCGATTCATAATAGTTTCCTTCGCTCTCGCTGCTCCTCTTAACTGTCTTTTTAGCGAAGGGGGAGTATGGGTCGTAGCCAAAGCTGTGCATGTATGGATCGTAGCCATCGTCCCTCTTAGCCCAAGCCATCATAGGGTCATACCCGATACTCTGCATATACGAGTCGAACCCGTTCCTCTTAGCTTCTCTTTTTCCCCAAGCCATTGTGGGGTCGTAACCGATGGTTTGCATGTAGGTTTCAAACCCAGGATCGTAACCGTTCTTCTTAGACCACGCTGTCATTGGATCATATCCAATGGCGGTCATATAGCCGTCGTGGTCGTCGGTAGAGCGCTTGACTACGGCTTTAGAGAGACCGTCGTCCGTCAGGATAACGGAATTCGGCAATGATAGTGGTGCTGTCTTCTTTAGACCCTCTGGGAAGACGCTGGGGAAGATGACTCCTTCTGAAGTCGCATCTGAGGAATAGTGCCGGTATTAGACACGTTTGAGAGGTACAGTAACGTCAGCATAAATGAGAATTATATATGTTGAACAAACCATACACTAGAAGGTGAAAGGACGACGACGTTTCGGTCCGTCCTGGACCATTCTCAAGTCGATTGTGACTTGAGAATGGTCCAGGACGGACCGAAACGTCGTCGTCCCTTCACCTTCTAGTGTGTGGTCTGGTCAACATACTTTTGCACTATTTACTTAAACACTATTTACTTATAACATGAAATTTGTTTCAAATAACTCAAAAAGGCTTTTTAAGTTACATTTCTAGCTTCATTTCAAGGAAATCAGACAATTATAAATATTTTTTTTAGTTATTCAAGTTGTTGAAGATTTCGCCAAAAAAGGGTTGACAGGAATGGAGATTTGCAAACATTTATTTTTTTGCTATGAAACATAAATTATAATCAAATTAATTAAATACAAACTCGAGAAAATTATATAGGAAGTAATTTATGTAATGAAGGGGATATTGTTCAAGATTTACGAGTGCGGGAAAATTCATATTTCAAAACCAACATTTTTAGCTCTTTCTTGAAAATCTCTCTAATTTTTCATCCAATTTTGAAGAAATATTAACATTATATACAAATTAACAAGCTTTATAAAGTTAGCAAGTCTGAAAAAACACAGAGAGAGAAGCCTCGTAGATACACCTATGATATATTCGTGTGTGAAAGACCTCCAGGAATTGTTACGAATAGAGGAACTGTTTACCCAACACCTGGTGCTCAACTTTTCTCATGAACGAGACGTCGACGGTACACTATCTTTTCTCGATGTCTAAGGGAGAACCACTTATGTTTACACCTGTCCACTTCCTGTTTAGACCTGTCCACTTGTGTTTACACCTGTCCACTTGTGTTTAGACCTGTCCACTTCTGTTTAGACCTGTCCACTTGTGTTTAGACCTGTCCACTTGTGTTTAGACCTGTCCACTTGTGTTTAGACCTGTCCACTTGTGTTTAGACCTGTCCACTTGTGTTTAGACCTGTCCACTTGTGTTTAGACCTGTCCACTTGTGTTTAGACCTGTCCACTTGTGTTTAGACCTGTCCACTTGTGTTTAGACCTGTCCACTTGTGTTTAGACCTGTCCACTTGTGTTTAGACCTGTCCACTTGTGTTTAGACCTGTCCACTTATGTTTAGACCTGTCCACTTGTGTTTACACCTGTCCACTTGTGTTTACACCTGTCCACTTGTGTTTAGACCTGTCCACTTGTGTTTAGACCTGTCCACTTGTGTTTAGACCTGTCCACTTATGTTTAGACCTGTCCACTTATGTTTAGACCTGTCCACTTATGTTTAGACCTGTCCACTTATGTTTAGACCTGTCCACTTGTGTTTAGACCTGTCCACTTATGTTTAGACCTGTCCACTTGTGTTTAGACCTGTCCACTTATGTTTAGACCTGTCCACTTGTGTTTAGACCTGTCCACTTATGTTTAGACCTGTCCACTTGTGTTTAGACCTGTCCACTTATGTTTACACCTGTCCACTTATGTTTACACAATACTTTACTGACCGACCAATAAGTATACTTTAGTTCTGAACATTGTCAAAGACTGAGGTCCAGAGGTACATGTCAGCCCATTTTTCATGTTAAAAATAGATTCTATAAAATACACAAGACTCTAAATTGTTTGTTGGGGAGGCGGGGAATTGTTATTCAACAACAACTGTAATAATAACCTTTCGTCTCACTGAGTTAGCAAACTATTTCTGTTCATGTGTGGCATCGTGTATTTTCTTTACCAAAAGCATGATAAAAAACATATGCGCGTTTTCTGTTCCCTTGACCGGCACGGCAGCAGTAGTGTTACTTGTATATAAACATATTATTGTGTATATATTTTGCTGGGAGACAGAAAAATGACCATTCTTGCGAATTAGGGAGAAGCGATGGATCCCGCATGGCTTGCTGGGCGAGGCAGCAGAACACACACACCATGTAACTGAATTGCAAGGGATATGTTTGGGCCCTTGCGGAGGGAGGGGCTCATGGCCCCAGGGCCCAGGGGCCTTCCCTCAGGGCCCCTAGGGGGCCCTTCCAAGTTACTCTGGAGGATTACTATCCCTGCCGCTCCTGTGGGGGGTCACTAATGTATTATGCCTCGCCTTCCACATATTTCTTTACCAGTCTTTTCTACCTCTTTCCTCTCTGTGCTGTCTCAGTATTTATATTACATTGGGAACAAACAGAAATGTTATATTTCAGCTAGTGTGTATCTTTACCTAAAATATAAATATCTAAATATTGTGAAAACATTTGAGACTTCTACTGGAACATCTTCAGTGGGAAAATGACCAAACTGCTTCAATTCCAGGTGATGTCTGAGGACACCAGGTTGTTAGGTGGTTGCAGTCACCGGGAGAGAACTGTGCAACAGTGTGTGCAACAGAAGGTAGAGGAAATAAAATGGCAACAAGCAGAAAAACCTTCATAAATAAGGAGGCAGAAAGAGTAGAGAGGACAGGCGAGGCTTCACATACCTGGACACCTGTAATAACAGTCCAGTGTGTGGACACCAGTGTCTGGACACTGGTGTCTGGACACTGGTGTCTGGACACTGGTGTCTGGACACTGGTGTCTGGACACTGGTGTCTGGACACTGGTGTCTGGACACTGGTGTCTGGACACTGGTGTCTGGACACTGGTGTCTGGACACTGGTGTCTGGACACTGGTGTCTGGACACTGGTGTCTGGACACTGGTGTCTGGACACTGGTGTCTGGACACTGGTGTGTGGACACTGGTGTCTGGACACTGGTGTCTGGACACTGGTGTGTGGACACTGGTGTGTGGACACTGGTGTGTGGACACCAGTGTCTGGACACTGGTGTGTGGACACCAGTGTCTGGACACTGGTGTGTGGACACTGGTGTCCACACACCATTGTCTGGACACTGGTGTCTGGACACTGGTGTCTGGACACCAGTGTCTGGACACTGGTGTCCACACACCATTGTCTGGACACTGGTGTCTGGACACTGGTGTCTGGACACTGGTGTGTGGACACTGGTGTGTGGACACTGGTGTGTGGACACTGGTGTCTGGACACTGGTGTCTGGACACTGGTGTCTGGACACTGGTGTCTGGACACTGGTGTCTGGACACTGGTGTGTGGACACTGGTGTGTGGACACTGGTGTGTGGACACTGGTGTGTGGACACTGGTGTCTGGACACTGGTGTCTGGACACTGGTGTCTGGACACTGGTGTCTGGACACTGGTGTCTGGACACTGGTGTCTGGACACTGGTGTCTGGACACTGGTGTCTGGACACTGGTGTCTGGACACTGGTGTCTGGACACTGGTGTCTGGACACTGGTGTCTGGACACTGGTGTCTGGACACTGGTGTGTGGACACTGGTGTCTGGACACTGGTGTCTGGACACTGGTGTCTGGACACTGGTGTCTGGACACTGGTGTGTGGACACTGGTGTCTGGACACTGGTGTGTGGACACTGGTGTGTGGACACTGGTGTGTGGACACCAGTGTCTGGACACTGGTGTGTGGACACCAGTGTCTGGACACTGGTGTGTGGACACTGGTGTCCACACACCATTGTCTGGACACTGGTGTCTGGACACTGGTGTCCACACACCATTGTGTGGACACTGGTGTGTGGACACTGGTGTCTGGACACTGGTGTCTGGACACTGGTGTCTGGACACTGGTGTCTGGACACTGGTGTCTGGACACTGGTGTCTGGACACTGGTGTCTGGACACTGGTGTCTGGACACTGGTGTCTGGACACTGGTGTCTGGACACTGGTGTCTGGACACTGGTGTCTGGACACTGGTGTCTGGACACTGGTGTCTGGACACTGGTGTCTGGACACTGGTGTGTGGACACTGGTGTCTGGACACTGGTGTCTGGACACTGATGTCTGGACACTGATGTCTGGACACTGATGTCTGGACACTGATGTCTGGACACTGATGTCTGGACACTGGTGTCTGGACACTGTACAATATACATAATTTATGTATATGAAATGCGAGGTGTTGCTCTGGTGACGGATGTCCTATCTTCACGAAGGAGCCGGTCGACCGAGCGGACAGCACACTGGACTTGTGATCCTGTGGTCCTGGGCTTGATCCCGGGCGCCGGCGAGAAACAATGGGCAGAGTTTCACCCTATGCCCCTGTTACCTAGCAGTAAAATAGGTACCTGGGTGTTAGTCAGCTGTCACGGGCTGTTTCCTGGAGGTGGAGGCCTGGTCGAGGACCGGGCCGCGGGGACACTAAAGCCCCGAAATCATCTCAAGATAACCTATCACTGGCTACTGTGTAAGCAAGTCAGAAATGCATTTCACCTTTGTAAAAACAAACTAATGCCACTATGTACAAGATTACCTAATCACTGGTTATGTAGGACAGACATAAGTCTGTGTCTTTATGTATGTAGGATAGATTAGCATTTTAAAAGCAGTACAATCATCTTCTGTGGTTGTTCAATAAATCACCGAACTATATGTTTAACAGATCTATAACTCTGTCCATGGAGGACGGAAGATATATATATATATATATATATATATATATATATATATATATATATATATATATATATATATATATATATATATATATATGCGAGGAGTCACAATAACGTGGCTGAAATATGTTGACCAGACCACACACTAGAAAGTGAAGGACGACGACGTTTCGGTCCGTCCTGGACCATTCTCAAGTCGATTGGGTGGTCGACTCCATTCTCACACAATCGACTTGAGAATAGTCCAGGACGGACCGAAACGTCGTCGTCCCTTCACTTTCTAATGTGTAGTTTTGGTAAACAAAATGTATATATGTTGGTTAGCATTGTAAATGTGTGGCCACGTCTGTGGTGTAAACGAACATCACAGGAAAGTGATGTCTAGCTCTCTATACCCCGCTTGCTGGACTTGTTGTATAGCTGCGTTAAAACTTCACTATTCTATCACTATCGGTGTCGAACCTTTCCTTAAAGCTGTGGATGGAGGACCCCAATGTTTGCTATCCTCGGACTGCACATAATGTGAGCACATCACCAATGCTACGATAGCCATCATGTGACGTCGCTGAATTTTTTTACAAAAGATTGAAGTTAGTGATCTTGGTGTGTGTGTGTGTGTGTGTGTGTGTGTGTGTGTGTGTGTGTGTGTGTGTGTGTGTGTACTCACCTAGTTGTGTTTGCGGGGGTTGAGCTCTGGCTCTTTGGTCCCGCCTCTCAACTGTCAATCAACAGGTGTACAGGTTCCTGAGCCTATTGGGCTCTATCATATCTACACTTGAAACTGTGTATGGAGTCAGCCTCCACCACATCACTGCCTAATGCATTCCATTTGTCAACCACTCTGACTCTAAAAAAGTTCTTTCTAATATCTCTGTGGCTCATTTGGGCACTCAGTTTCCACCTGTGTCCCCTTGTGCTTGTTCCCCTTGTGTTAAACAGCCTGTCTTTATCTACCCTATCAATTCCCTTCAGAATCTTGAATGTGGTGATCATGTCCCCCCTAACTCTTCTGTCTGTGTGTGTGTGTGATAACATGAGTAAGATTATGGGTAGAAAGAGTGTGTTGGTGGCTCTATATATTCCTGGGGACCGCCTGAGGCCAGTGAGTTCTGGTCAGCCCGCCATGTGTGAACTCCCACAAGTGGGAACATGACACAGTGAGTACTCTGGACTCACCATCATGACTGGTGATGCGGGGATTAACTCTTGGTGACTGGCTGACTGGTGTGTGACTGCCTTCGTTGCTGGGCGTGGGGTGTGGGTGGACATTTGGGGCGGAAGAGACGCCCATCAGCACGCTCGCGTTTATCACCAACGCCCACGCCACCAAAGTCTGTGGGCGAAGAGTAGAGTTAACATCTGTGGACCGTTAAGGAGCAAAATGAGACGTACTACTGGAGAGAATGAGGTGATTAAGACTGGGTGTTAGTCAGCTGTCACGGGTTGCTTCCTGGGGGTGGAGGCCTGGTCGAGGACCGGGCCGCGGGGACACTAAAGCCCCGAAATCATCTCAAGATAACCTCAAGATAACCTATACCACACTACCTTACTGACCAACCAGCAAGTATTCTTCAGTCCTGAATACGGTTCAGGGCTAAGGTAAACCCACAGTGTACCGAGAGGTATTCCTCACGGAGCCTATATCCCCAATGAGGCTTGTGTTTCGCTAGACAGACAGACATCTATGAGTGACTACCGACCTCACACCAGTATCCACGTATTTTATTTATTTATCTAAGCCATTCTCAACCACCAAGACTTACTAACATATTTTCATTGACATAGGATCAAACTAGCTGTGCTAAAGAGAGGTAATTTAGAGTGTAATTGTAATACAGGGTGGTAATGACCTAGATAATTACATGCAAGAGTGTGTAATTAGGTGGTCATAGCAGAGATAATTGACATAATTGAGAGAGAAATGTAAATTAGGGCCAGAAATGTGTTTACTCTATATAATCAATTTCTGAATTTCTTAAACAACAAGTCAAGCTTAAACAACAGGTCAAGCTTAAACAACAGGTCAAACTTAACAGGTCAAGCTTGAACAACAGGTCAAGCTTGAACAACAGGTCAAGCTTGAACAACAGGTCAAGCTTGAACAACAGGTCAAGCTTGAATAACAGGTCAAGCTTAAACAACAGGTCAAGCTTAAACAACAGGTCAAACTTGAACAACAGGTCAAGCTTAAACAACAGGTCAAGCTTAAACAACAGGTCAAGCTTAAACAACAGGTCAAGCTTAAACAACAGGTCAAACTTGAACAACAGGTCAAGCTTAAACAACAGGTCAAACTTGAACAACAGGTCAAGCTTAAACAACAGGTCAAGCTTAAACAACAGGTCAAACTTGAACAACAGGTCAAGCTTAAACAACAGGTCAAGCTTAAACAACAGGTCAAACTTGAACAACAGGTCAAGCTTGAACAACAGGTCAAGCTTAAACAACAGGTCAAGCTTAAACAACAGGTCAAGCTTAAACAACAGGTCAAGCTTAAACAACAGATCAAACTTGAACAACAGGTCAAGCTTAAACAACAGGTCAAACTTGAACAACAGGTCAAGCTTAAACAACAGGTCAAGCTTAAACAACAGGTCAAACTTGAACAACAGGTCAAGCTTAAACAACAGGTCAAACTTGAACAACAGGTCAAGCTTAAACAACAGGTCAAGCTTAAACAACAGGTCAAACTTAACAGGTCAAACTTGAACAACAGGTCAAGCTTAAACAACAGGTCAAACTTGAACAACAGGTCAAGCTTAAACAACAGGTCAAACTTGAACAACAGGTCAAACTTGAACAACAGGTCAAGCTTAAACAACAGGTCAAGCTTAAACAACAGGTCAAGCTTAAACAACAGGTCAAGCTTAAACAACAGGTCAAGCTTAAACAACAGGTCAAGCTTAAACAACAGGTCAAACTTGAACAACAGGTCAAGCTTAAACAACAGGTCAAACTTGAACAACAGGTCAAGCTTAAACAACAGGTCAAACTTGAACAACAGGTCAAACTTGAACAACAGGTCAAACTTGAACAACAGGTCAAACTTGAACAACAGGTCAAACTTGAACAACAGGTCAAACTTGAACAACAGGTCAAACTTGAACAACAGGTCAAACTTGAACAACAGGTCAAGCTTAAACAACAGGTCAAGCTTAAACAACAGGTCTAGCTTAAACAACAGGTCAAGCTTGAACAACAGGTCAAGCTTGAACAACAGGTCAACAACAGGTCAAGCTTAAACAACATGTAAGTTTTCGTGCCAAGGATCGTTGGCCGGTCCTCTGGGAGTCTAATCACCATATCTGTCATTAGTCCATCTTGTCGCCTGGGAACTCTTATCCTTGACAAGTTGTGAACCTGTTTCGTAAGTCTTGCTCTTGGAATACAGACTTAAACATCGTAAACTTATTAATTACTCGAGCCTTCCTGAGGGCTGCGTCCCTAAAGACTCGTCCAATCCGTTAAGAATACGACGTATTATTAGTCAATTAAAATTCTATGATATATACGTTTTCTATGCATGAGTAATTGGTAGGTTAGGAGGGTTGTTTGGGTTAGGAGGATTGTGGCTAGGGAGACGTTGCTTGTCAACTGTAGCAACGAGTCATTAGAGGTTAACGATGTTCACAGGTAATGTTCAGTCTATTAATAATAGACTTGCTGTCTATTACAACCATTCCACGTCCTTACCAGTCCCGTGTACCACTACACACCCCCTTAATCACCCCTTAACTACCCATTAACCACCCCTTAACCACCCATTAACCACCCATTAATCACCCCTTAACCACCCATTAATCACCCCTTAACCACCCATTAACTACCCATTAACCACCCATTAATCACCTATTAACCACCCATTAATCACCCCTTAACTACCCCTTAACCACCCATTAACCACCCATTAATCACCCCTTAACCACCCATTAACCACCCCTTAACCACCCCTTAACTATCCATTAACCACCCATTAATCACCCCTTAACCACCCATTAACCACCCCTTAACCACCCATTAATCACCCCTTAACCACCCCTTAACCACCCCTTAACTACCCATTAACCACCCATTAATCACCCCTTAACCACCCTTAGCCTCCTCGTCGAATACTACAAGAGGCGGAGTCAAGACAGAAAAAGAACCAATAAGGATCAATCGCGTCCAGAAGTGGGCGTGGCACCACTGGTGGGGGGCGTGGCACCACTGGTGGGGGGCGTGGCACCACTGGTGAGGGGCGTGGCACCACTGGTGGGGGGCGTGGCGCCACTGGTGGGGGGCGTGGCACCACTGGTGAGGGGCGTGGCACCACTGGTGGGGGGCGTGGCACCACTGGTGAAGGGCGTGGCACCACTGGTGGGGGCCGTGGCGCCACTGGTGGGGGGCGTGGCACCATTGGTGGGGGCGTGGCACCATTGGTGGGGGTGTGGCACCACTGGTGAGGGGCGTGGCACCATTGGTGGGGGCGTGGCGTCACCTGCGACATCACAGGAAGGGGCGACACCTGGCGGCTCCGTCACCAAATAACACCTGCTGTGATTGAACAGTAATTAGGTGAGCTAACAGGTGATTAAATCTTAAACTCGATTAATATTGCGTCACTCAAGCGTTGAGTGTGTGTGTGTGTGTGTGTGTGTGTGTGTGTGTGTGTGTGTGTGTGTGTGTGTGTGTGTGTGTGTGTGTGTGTTTGAGGGACGGGGACCGTCTGTGTGTATGTGAGTCGTATATATTGTTTTTCCTGCATAAATATATTACCTCGTGCAGCTGTTTGGACCTTTAAACCAAACATTTGTCAGCCTCACACACACAGAAGCGAGGGTGAGCGCTCACATCTGTTTGTCTGCATGTTTGGTTTTGTGTGTGTGTGTGTGTCGTAAGTCTGGCAGGGTATGATCGTGGTGTGTGTGTGTGTGTGTGTGTGTGTGTGTGTGTGTGTGTGTGTGTGTGTGTGTGTGCAGTCGCATGAGCGTGAATATTTGTATGAGTGAGTGATGGTGCGGTCGGAGGTGACGTGAAGCAATGGCCAGACCCCAGTTCGAGCCCCCGCAGTGTGACGAATGAGCGAAAGAGAAATATGGGAAGCAAGAGAAGGAGAGAAGAGGAGGTGAAGGGAGAGAAAGGGATAGAAAGAAAGAGAAATAAAAGAAGGGTCTGGAAACGAAGAGGGAAATTAAATAGGATGTGTAAGGGGTAGGAAGTAGGAGACGAGAATGAGAATTAGGAGTAGCAGGAGGAGGAAGAGAAAGAAGGAATATGTCAACTTCAATAGGACAATAATGACATAAATGAAAAACTTATGAACAATAAGATTTATCAAGCCACTTTCTGTACCCTCCCCCACCCTCTCTATCCCTTATGGATCTTCTTGAGGTGATTTCGGGGCTTTAGTGTCCCCGCGGCCCGGTCCTCGACCAGGCCTCCACCCCCAGGAAGCAGCCCGTGACAGCTGACTAACACCCAGGTACCTATTGGGTGTATGGAAGCTTTGAACCAAAGAAGTCATGAAATAACAGCCATCGAAGGTATTATAAATAAATCCCAAATAGGAATCACAGGGAGGCGCGAGAAGGAATGGGAATGCACTTCCAGGTGGAAAATGTAAGCCATAGACTAGGATGGGTATTTGAGAGGGGCGTCGTGATGGTATTAGTCCCTCTTCTGTCCTCTCTTGTAAGGTCACTCCCTCTCCAGTCCCTTCACCCTACAGTCCGTCCACCCTACAGTCCCTCCAACAGTCCACACTCGAGTCTCTACTTCAGTCCACCAACATAAACGTTGGAATATCCGTTACAACGAACATTAAGTTGGAATATTCGATACTACGAACATAAAGTTGGAATATCCGATACTACGAACATAAAGTTGGAATATCCGAGACTACAAACATAAAGTTGGAATATCCGATACTACGAACATAAAGTTGGAATATCCGTTACAACGAACATAAAGTTGGAATATCCGAGACTACAAACATAAAGTTGGAATATCCGATACTACGAACATAAAGTTGGAATATCCGATACTACAAACATAAAGTTGGAATATCCGATACTACGAACATAAACTTATTAAAACCCATAATTAACAACAAGTTTTAACATTCATAATTGAAAAGGAGAAAGAGTGAGTGAAGCATATTGAGCAATCGCATTAACACTGTGTCTCGGTGCCAATTACAGTCCAGAACATAACGAGGCAGTTAAGTAGCGGCAATTAGCGAGTTTTGCGACTGACTGGGGAGACGGGACCAATCGGATTAGAAGTCTTAACAATGCCTTTAAGTCTGTGACTGTTTAGGGCCGCGTGTGGGTGTGTTCACTCTTAAACGTACTTATGTAAATGTGCTTGGGCTCTAGCTCCCGGGACCCAGCTTACTATGTTCCATTGTTCTACTCTTACTTTTATTGAACATGTCACCTTGTTCTTCCCTGCCTTATTGCTGAACCTGTCCGCTTGTTCTTCCCTGCCTTATACTGAACATGTTCCTCTTGTTCTATTCAGCTCTATACTGAATATGTTCTATAGTTCTCTCCAACCTTATACTGATCTTGTCCCCTTGTTCTACCCTGACATACTGAACATACCACATATACTTCCCTGTCTTATAGTGAATATGTCCCCTGCCGCTGCCCAATACTGTCACTATGGCGGTGTCTGCCCATTCTCTCCCCTATAAGAGAGAGGTTGGAGGGGGAGACAGAGAGTGAGACTGAGAGCGAGAGTGAGAGTGAGAGTTTTATATCTTCTACTGCTCCCAACACCTGTTGTTTCTCATGCTGGCTCTCTACCACCACCACCTTCCCACCCTGCACCCACTCTGCCAGCACCACACTACACCCCCACTCTGCCAACACTATCAACACTACTCCCTCCACTTCTTCACCCTTCTCTCTCTCTGTTACTAACGTCTCGCCCTTCTCTTTCTCTCTCACTCTCTCCCTCCCTCCCTCCCTCTCCCTCTCCCTCTCTGTTACTAACGTCTCGCCCTTCTCTTTCTCTCTCACTCTCTCCCTCCCTCCCTCCCTCTCCCTCTCCCTCTCTGTTACTAACGTCTCGCCCTTCTCTTTCTCTCTCACTCTCTCCCTCCCTCCCTCCCTCTCCCTCTCCCTCTCTGTTACTAACGTCTCGCCCTTCTCTTTCTCTCTCACTCTCTCCCTCCCTCCCTCCCTCTCCCTCTCCCTCTCTGTTACTAACGTCTCGCCCTTCTCTTTCTCTCTCACTCTCTCCCTCCCTCCCTCCCTCTCCCTCTCTGTTACTAACGTCTCGCCCTTCTCTTTCTCTCTCACTCTCTCCCTCCCTCCCTCCCTCTCCCTCTCTGTTACTAACGTCTCGCCCTTCTCTTTCTCTCTCACTCTCTCCCTCCCTCCCTCTTTCTCTCCCTCTCCCTCTCTATTACTCGAGCTCCACGCTGCTAACACAACATTAAACATTCATCTAAGTGTATTTAACAAAACTCAGTCATATTTAAAACAATCATGTGTTGATTTTGAAAGCAAACTCTTCACAAATGAGATATTGTACGTAATGACCCTGCCAGTATTGACCTTCCCTGCTAGTATTGACCCTCCCTGCCAGTATTGACCCTGCCAGTATTGACCCTCCCTGCTAGTATTGACCCTGCCAGTATTGACCCTCCCTGCTAGTATTGACCCTCCCTGCCAGTATTGACCCTCCCTGCCAGCATTGACCTTCCCTGCCAGTATTGAACCTCCCTGCCAGTATTGACCCTCCTTGACAGTATTGACCCACCCTGCCAGTATTGACCTTCCCTGCCAGTATTGACCCTCCCTGCCAGTATTGACCTTCCCTGCCAGTATTGACCTTCCCTGCCAGTATTGACCCACCCTGCCAGTATTGACCCTCCCTGCCAGTATTGACCCTCCCTGCCAGTATTGACCTTCCCTGCCAGTATTGACCTTCCCTGCCAGTATTGACCCTCCCTGCCAGTATTGACCCTCCCTGCCAGTATTGACCCTCCCTGCCAGTATTGACCTTCCCTGCCAGTATTGACCCTCCCTGCCAGTATTGACCCTCCCTGCCAGTATACACCCACCCTGCCAGTATTGACCCTCCCTGCCAGTATTGACCCACCCTGCCAGTATTGACCCTCCCTGCCAGTATTGACCCTCCCTGCCAGTATTGACCTTCCCTGCCAGTATTGACCTTCTCTGCCAGTATTGACCTTCCCTGCCAGTATTGACCTTCCCTGCCAGTATTGACCCTCCCTGCCAGTATTGACCTTCCCTGCCAGTATTGACCCTGCCAGTATTGACCTTCCCTGCCAGTATTGACCTTCCCTGCCAGTATTGACCCTCCCTGCCAGTATTGACCCACCCTGCCAATATTGACCTTCCCTGCCAGTATTGACCCACCCTGCCAGTATTGGCCTTCCCTGCCAGTATTGACCCACCCTGCCAGTATTGACCCTCCCTGCCAGTATTGACCCACCCTGCCAGTATTGACCCACCCTGCCAGTATTGACCTTCCCTGCCAGTATTGACCCTCCCTGCCAGTATTGACCCTCCCTGCCAGTATTGGCCCACCCTGCCAGTATTGACCCACCCTGCCAGTATTGACCCTGCCAGTATTGACCCTCCCTGCCAGTATTGACCCTGCCAGTATTGACCCTGCCAGTATTGACCCTGCCAGTATTGACCCTCCCTGCCAATATTGACCCACCCTGCCAGTATTGACCCTCCCTGCCAGTATTGACCCTCCCTGCCAGTATTGACCCACCCTGCCAGTATTGACCTTCCCTGCCAGTATTGACCCTCCCTGCCAGTATTGACCCACCCTGCCAGTATTGACCCTCCCTGCCAGTATTGACCTTCCCTGCCAGTATTGACCTTCTCTGCCAGTATTGACCTTCCCTGCCAGTATTGACCCACCCTGCCAGTATTGACCCACCCTGCCAGTATTGACCTTCCCTGCCAGTATTGACCCTGCCAGTATTGACCTTCCCTGCCAGTATTGACCCTCCCTGCCAGTATTGACCTTCCCTGCCAGTATTGACCCACCCTGCCAGTATTGACCCTCCCTGCCAGTATTGACCCTCCCTGCCAGTATTGACCCACCCTGCCAGTATTGAACCTCCCTCCCAGTATTGACCCTCCCTGCCAGTATTGACCCTGCCAGTATTGGCCTTCCCTGCCAGTATTGACCCACCCTGCCAGTATTGGCCTTCCCTGCCAGTATTGACCCAACCTGCCAGTATT